AAGTCTTATGATTCATTGCTTTCCCCAGTAAAATTAAGGCAGGTATTTCATGAGTTTTTTCTTACTTTACATAGAAATCATGCAAAATTATTATTTCATGTGGTTTCAACTGGGGTTTATAAGAATGCTATTTCAAATCTAACACTATAAAGCAAAGCTGAGCGTTGCAAAACAGCAAACTAGGCATTTAAAATGGAAAATATAATCACAAATCCCTGAAAAACTAAGCTCCCAAGGATTTTACACCTCTGTGATTTCAGAAACCAGTTGTACAAAAAAATTAACTAGTATTCAGCACAAGTGAAAAAGAAGCCTATCCCCCCTACCTCCCCATATCTATTCAGGGATAATTTGGCATCATGTAATACACACAAAGAATCTAGGATGGACTTTTTTGTGACTGGCTATATTTCTCCTGTACTGGTCATCATGAAACCAGGACTCTACTTAGGCATTAGTCTTCCCTCGTGATCAATGACTTACTAATTAATGGAAACTCAGGGATTCCTCCACTAAATGATATGGTTTGTAAAGTATTAAAGCAGTGCTGTTGAATTCACATATTCGTTCTGCTATTTATATGACAATAAACTACTCATTGTAAGCAAAACTGTAAGAATCTAATGTTCAGGCGTTCTGATGGTTATTGAGTATCAGAGTGCAGGAGGCTGTGACACCTCAGAGATCTCCCAGACCTTAGCAAGCACAAGGAATGCTAAACTTGCAGATGCAAATTGCTTGAGACCCAAGGTGGTTCAGTATGTAAGGTACTCTTGCAAATAGTGTTTTCTAAAACTGCAGGGCCTGAGGCAGCTGCTTAGTTTACAAATCAGTGTTTTGTCCAGTTGTGAAAAGTAAAGAGGCAACATTCTGGAACCAGCATTTCCTTTTCTCTGTTTGGGTCCTGCAATCCCATGTATTTTTTACACTGATTTTGTCTGATCAATACCTTAGTGAAAGCAAGGGATTATAGTCATTCAGGCATACAATAAGTAACTAGGATTTTGATCAGTTAGGATTTACTAACAATTTATAACTTCTGCTGGTTTTATTTTATATTTAAATGCTCTAAAATGAATCTCATTAACAGAACAAAATTGATATTTAGCTATTTCATAGCCATGAAATATGGTTCAGTATTTGTGACAGATATTATTTTATTATTTTAAATGTTATCACAATTATTTATCACTATTGTTTTTTCTCTGTTTTCCTGGCATTTAAGTAAGCTACATATTTGAATAAATAATGGTTTCAAAGAGTTTAATGGCATGAACTACTTTTTCATGCTGTTGCACAGAAACTTAGCTCATGATCAGATGCCTTTGGCAATATAACAATTGTTTACAGGATAAGGTTAAGTATTGCATGGACATTTGCTCTTTTGGATGTTTGTCAGTGGCAGGAAACAAAAAACAACACATGGGCACTTACATCTCACAGCAAGAATTTAACTGGATCCCAGTGGCTGATAGGTGAAAACGTGACAAACCCTGACCCACACATCAAGTAGACTTTAACTAATAATATAGAAATAAGATATGATTACATACTACTGTCCTTCTTCCAGGTTACTGTCTTTCAGGGTAACATAATTGTAGTCCAGCTTTGTCCAGTGCTCTTGACCTGCCATAAAATCTCTTTTTGCTCTCATTATATTAATTAGAAAATAATGTTAGAAACGGCAGGAAAACTAGTAATCTATTTAGCAAATCCACAGCCAGATCAACAGGTTTTTAGTTATACTATCATGCTCACAGTTCCTGTGATACTATTTAAGTCCTGGTCAGATCTGTACACCAAAAACACATCTGCATGAAAACACTGAATTTGGATACTCTGTGTTTTTGAGACATTTGGATTTGGATTCCAATCTGTATTTTGTCTCTGACTGAAGTCTAAAAATAGTGAAACTAAATCTCTGATTTAAACACCTTATGACTTGTAGATTTGCAGTCAAAATAGTAATTTCTGACTAACTCTGTTTGTTTATCCTTTATCAAGATGGAAACCAAGGTAATAGAATATGAGCAAATATGACAGAATAGAAAAGAAAAAAATCTAAAAAGGCTACTTTCCGTTTTGCTGTACTATTGTTCTACATTTGCAGCTTTCACCCTTCCAAAATCTAAAGAAATACTGGGGTTCATGAGTGAACAAATACAGCTCTTTTACACACCTCCAGGAAAAAAAGAAAAATCCGAGTATATTTAAACTCCAATTGTATTTCATAATTAATCACTGAAAAATTGAGAATGTACCTTATAGTCATGTATGTCACTGTACATTGCAAGTCAATTTTTATTGGGGGTGATATATTACTGAATATATAAATCAGTTTGGGTTAGACAACATTTTGGAAACTACTAAGCCACTAAATACAGACCTGATAGTAAATGGGGACATTAGGATATACAAATCAGTTCCCGAAACCATGTAGAGGACACTGCTTATGACAGTGATTTCCAACAATCCTAACAGCTTCTTTTTTCACCTAGGAGCTGAAATTATTGTGGTTGTATTTCCCTTAATTTTTTCTCATTTGTTCAGTATTGTTTTAGCTCGTACTTACTGCATGTACTAAATCCCTGGCAAGATAATCAAACTTGCTGTTTACAGAAGAATGTGCATGTAGAACATGTGATATGAATTGGAGGAAGGTAATTTATACAAAGACTGGACATTATAAATAAAAAGTTTATCATGTCTATGCAATATATGATCCCTAATTTTGAGATCTACAGATTGTCGTATTGAAAAAAGCAAAACAAAACAAAAGTCAAAGAATACTTTGCCTGCAAATATGATGGTGCTGCTTTTCCCACTGTGAAACAGTTTTAGTCAAATCTATTTTGTATCATACTGTTTCTCTTCCACACATTACAGCTTTCAAATTCTCAATTTATAATACCATTAATCGTTAAAAATCTCTTTTAAAAATATCCATGAGACTTTTCTGAGTATTTATCCTTACTTGCATTGTACGTATTTTGTGCAGTGGAAATGTATCTCCAAAGACTTCTTTAGAATTTTCTTGAGCAGTGTATTTCTCTAATTCAGTCAAAAAGACAGATATTTAAATGGAATAAAATGAGTGAACATAGTTCAATATATCATTCTAAGGTTGTATTCGATGATCTTAAAGGTCTTTTCCAATCTAAATGATTCTATGAAATGATCTAACACTAACAAAGGTTCTAACTAAGTTCTA